TGATTTCATTCTTAGATAGATTAGTTATTAAATCAAAATCCCCCCTTTTATTGCTTTCATAATAAATTCAATTAATACAAGAATATCACAATTTGGTTCACACTCCTCGTGAGATCGACCCTTACTTGCCACTACTACTAGTTAGTAGAGATTTGTCGAGGAAAAATATAAATTTTAAATTTGCCGTGTTGCGACGTGCAGTCATATATTGTAACTGATGTTGATACAATATAATAAATAAATTAGTTTTTTTAAGTATAATTGTAAATACTTTCAAATAAGGATAAAATTAAAAATATTTATTTATCTTACCGCATGGATGAAAATTTCCCTTTTATTTACTTGGCGTGCGGGCGCCGGGCAAGTTCAAAAATCAAATTGAACTCGCCGAAAAGAGAAAAAATGACGTGAAATTTCTCTTATGCTGTGGCATATTCCCGCCAAACGGAACACCAAATGCACAAGCTGCCGCCACGTGTCGGGTCCACATACACCCATCTACATGAAACCTCCTCTGTCCCCATACCAAACTCCATTTGCGCCTCGCGAATCCCCCAAAAAGCTCTCTTTATCTTCTCCACTTTGCTTTCACCGCACAACACGTTATCCTCTGGTTCGTTTTCGTCAGAATTCACAATGTCGAAGGCTCTCGATCGGATATCAAGCCCTTGTGAGTCGTAGAAACATGAATTCCTAAAGTAAATTGATGATCTTATGTTAGTCGCAGTTGGTCGAAAAAGATTTTATTTATTTTTTTATTTTTTTTTTCTGGGTTTTGTGTTTAATTTGTGGTTGAAAATTGGGTTTTAATCTGCGGCGAGGCTAGTACAGTAGTGAGTGTCGGAATTTGTTGTTCGTACTTTGTAATTTCATTTTCCAGGCTTTTGATTTCATGGGTGATAGGCGAACATTGGTCGATTTTGCGGTTGGAATATAGAAATGTAAAACCTGTGTTCCTAAATTTCTAGGGGGTTCTGTAGTTATTAGTTTTGCAGTTAATAATGTGAAACATTGGTTAATCACATTGGTTAATGTTGTTCAGATGTGACTACATATGCAGTCTGGAAGTGTGTGTTCTATTTGGTCCTTTGTGCTGCTAAACAAGGACGATTGCATTTTCTTCTTTCAAGCACTGGATATGAGAATTTCAGTTTTGTCACTGCTAACTAGTTTTCATGGGAACATAACATTTGGGAGACACTTAAAAAAATAAATTTGCAAGATCGATTATGAGCACATTTGCCACCGGTCGTGTCCTTTTGCATTTCTGGTGGGTGCAATCTGTGTACATGAAGGTTTTCTTTGGGATTAGAATGTCCCAGTAAGTAAACTGTTGAAAAAATCGAGTAAATCATTACTTTCTTATAGCCGTTAGGTTAATTCTGATTGTTCCTAAAGTACACCGCTTAGGTTATCTTTTAATCATCAAGCATCAAATAAAGGTGGAATTAGATGTTTGGAGCTATTACAGCTACTTTATCTTTACCATGAGCATTGTAACACTCAAACCTCCGCATTGGTTCTACTTAGGGGTTGAGCCTTGAATCTTCAGTTTCTTTGCAGTATACCATACCCTTCATTCCTTATAATTTTTCAGGAAATTACTTATTCCTTATCCTAGTTTCTGTATATTGAAGTCTCTTAAGCATTACTAAGTTTTCTGCATTATCTTCACTCTTGGCAATCTCCTCTGATATCCAAAGAAGGTCTTCTTTTTCATCTGAGCTTTAGAACAAGGATAGTGGATATTGAGTTTGTTTTAAAATGACACGTGTCTCACTGTTTTGCTATTTAGTATGTGCATACCACTTATTTAGGAGTTGGCAATGCACTACAGTGTAGCATATTCAGTCCATTTGGTTCAGGTTTAGTTTTTAAGCAACTGCCAATTCTTCTATCGCATGGAATTTTCTTTGGGTGTGCATGCTGCGTCCTAATATTTTATTTTATGCCGGTTTTAGTTTGATGGGGGTTAACATGTCGCATAATCAAGAATCAGATTTAGTTATTTGATTCTTAAAATGGAATGAAAAAAGAGCAATTGTTTTTCCTCAGGTTGTTGCAAAGATGGCAAGCACAAACAGAAATCAGATCCTGAAATATCTGAAGAAAATATGAAATCTGGAATTCTGAAAAAAGCAAGAAACATGTCCAGTAAACTAAGGAATTCTCTGAGAATCAAGAGCAAAAGGAGGAATGATTTTGGAGTTTATAAGATTGAGGATATTTGTGAAACTGAGGAGCAGAAGGTTGTTGATGCTTTTCGACAAGCACTGATCGCAGATAATTTGCTTCCTGCAAGATTTGATGATTACCATGTAATGTTAAGGTAATTTTATCCCATCTGCATCCTTACATATCACATTTATCACGAATTCTTCTGCATGGCAAATTTTCACTGGTTTGAAGCGACTAATCTGACAAACATCTTTGTTTCAACTTTGGCTAGACTGCCCACAAATTCCATTGTTTACTCTGATAAATCTAGTTTTTGGAGTAACTGGGTAAACTTTTTAACCCAAGGTTTAGTTGATAATGATTGCTTGTTAATATTTGTCCATTTGGGAATAGTTATGATTGTTATCAGTTGTGCGACATATGAATCATTATAGAAATATAGGAAAAACGCGATGAATTGATTGAGAAAATAAATTTGGTGCTCTGATGTTTGAAACTATCTTCTTTCAACTTTGCCCATCAATCTCACTAGGGTTTTATCTCGACACTTAATGATGAAAATGTTCAATGTTCTTTATCCTTGTTTCGTGACGTTTGGTTTCTGGACTGATTATTATTATTTTGTGTCAAGGTTGGAACTAATTTTGAACCATTGCATCGTTTCTGGTAAACATAAAAACTTTTGTCTTATTTTCCTTGAGCAATCACCAATTTGCAGGTTTCTTAAAGCAAGGAAGTTTAACATTGAAAAAGCAAAAGCGATGTGGGCAAACATGCTTCACTGGAGGAAAGACTTCGGCGCTGATACAATCATGGAGGTGAGCATGAATGTGTATGTCATTAGATTCATAAATTCTATTTAATTGTTTTGGATTTATGTGATGCTTAGGTACTTTTAGTTTATGGGTTTTAGTATCATAATACATCAAGATAGCTAGTTTGTCTTTGTAATTGTTCTTGGTTGTAGTGCCTTTACAATTGGCCACAACATGGAGGCTTTTCATTCTATGAAGCTCAATTTATGTGCATTAGCTTCAATCAGAAAAGGCATAGAATATAGGGGCATGCTTGTTTATTAAATAATTTGATCACATTTATTTTAATACTCAAAATCTAAGGGGGCGATTGTTTATAGTTTCAACAGTAAAAAAACCAATCAAAACTCAAATTTAACTAAACTTTAACCCAACTCCACTATCTCTCATATTATCAATATAATTAAATAATATTAACCAATTATTTTTATACATCACATCAACTTTAATTCACTATTCATCCACTCACATAATTTTAACTAACCATCACTTCCAATCATTTTTCTCCTACTTTACATCAAATCAACTTTAATTATTTTATTTAAATATTATTTTAATACACCCACTAACAACTAACCATACCACTTTTTTCAAAGTTAACTATAGTTAAAAAACAAACCAAATAAAAACTAGTTGAATTCATAAACAATCACACCCTAACTCAACTTTAACTCAACCTCACTATCCTTAATATTATTTATATAATTAAATATAAACTAATCATTCTTACACATCACATCAACTTTAATTCATTATTCATCCAGTCACATAATTTTCACTACCTATCATTTCCAATCATTTATCTCTACTTTTACATCAAATCAATAATAATCATTTTATTTTAAACATTATTTTAATATATTCTTAAAATCCCATTAACAACTAACCATGCCACATTTTTTCAAAATTAATTCTGGTTAATAAAAAAAAGCCTCATATTGAGCGGATTATTTGATAAACAAGCGCTCCCTAGACCTCTTGTTTTATGAGAAAGCTGCCTACTGCATGTTCATAAATAGACATGGTATTTCTTTCAGAATTTTATCACGAAATCTGAGGCAGAGATGTGAACTTGTGTTCAGGTTTTCATCTACGGCAAATTTTGTTTTTAAACTTTAAAAACAATTTTCTTTTCTACATTCCATTATTTTGATATCACATTATTAACTAGTGTTCTGGGTATCTTCTATGCACTTGTAATCAACTCAGGACTTGGACTTCAAGGAGTTGAATGAGGTTCAATGTTATTATCCTCATGGATATCATGGTGTTGACAAGGATGGGAGACCTGTATACATTGAGATATTGGGTAGCATTGATGTTGACATGCTACTCCAGGTTACGACTTTGGACCGATTTGTGAAATACCAAGTGCAGGAGTTTGAAAAAAGTATTGCCGTTAGGTTTCCAGCATGCTCCGCTGCAGCAAACAGGCATATAGATTCAAGTACTACAATTTTAGATGTTCAAGGATTGGTATTCGTCTGTTCTGTTTTCTTTTTTTCATATTAACAGTGATGATACTATTAATTTTTCTATTAAGATTACATGGGTATATATGAGCCCTCTGTTTTTGTACAGGGTCTAATGAGTTTGACTGGCCCCGTTACAGACTTCATTAGGACAATCCAAAAGATTGATAATGACAATTATCCTGAAGTGTGTATTTCTTAATTCTCTTGATTTGTGCTTTTCATTACTAGACTAGAATTGTATATACTCCATATTTGAATTAAAGATTGTTTCTAAATATACCAGACACTTCACCAAATGTTTATCATCAATGCTGGCCCTGGCTTCAGGCTGATCTGGAACTTAGTCAAGCCTTTACTTGATCCTGAAACGTCATCAAAAATTCAGGTTGGTCGTATTAAAGCATTCACCAAGGCCTAAGACCCACTACTTAGACATTAATAAATTGGATGATATTTTGCCGAGCTCTTGCAGGTTCTTGACAGCAAATACCAAGGCAAATTGTTTGAAGCAATTGATGAGAGGTGACTGAGTGTTTCTTTCTTTTTTTTTTCCTTGCATAATCAGTTTTCTGTATGTTTTGAAACTCATTCGACCGGCGTTTTGGTCCTTTTGGAGGTTAGCGAGCTGCCGTTTTTTCTTGGTGGTAGCTGTACTTGTGAGATTGAAGGAGGCTGTTTGAGGTCAGATAAAGGACCCTGGAACAATCCAAATTTATTAAAGGTGATAAAACAGGTTTCTTCACAATTTTTTTTTTATACCTCTTGTCATGTAATTGACTGTCGATATCCTCTGAATGTAGATGAGTCTCGATGTTGAAGTGCATCCCATCCATAAACCGGAAATTCTCTTGGATAATGAGGAAACTTAACTGACTAGGTAAACTTTTGGCATTCTTTAAACTGTTTTATGCCCCCT